AAACCTTCATCTAAAGTACAATAAAAAAAAAAGTTAATGTCTTGAACAAACAAAACACCCTAAGGTTGTGTGCAGGTTACTTGTGGATACTCATTTATTCTAGATCATAACATGCAACAACCAAATGCAGAGCACGAAGCTCATGTGGATCCTTGTTTGGAAAAACAAACTAAAAAACCCACAAAATAGCCCGTAAAGACCGTTTTCAAGGAGTTTTTTGGGATGCTTTTGAGGAAAATTGAATACATACATATTAAGAAATTTTAGCTAATTTTTTTAGATGAGATTTAGGTATTGTGGTTAGGTAGAAAAATATCCTCGTTTTTAGGAGACATATGCTAATAAAGTGTTTAGGGGTGAAGTTCCATGATGTCTGAAAGTCACTTCCAAATGGCTTAGCAACACACACATCCATGTCTACAGAGAGAGAAAACAAACCTGGTTAAATGTTAAGAACTGCTGAACCTGGGTGATAGGAATATGGATGATCAACTGTGCTCTTCTTTCAAACTTTCTATGTTCAGAATTGTTTACTATAAAAAAGTGGGAGAAATAAATAATCTTCTTCAACTAAGTTCCAAATGGTTCATGTAACTGCAGCCAGCAATGGGAAATGAAGACTCTGATTTGGGGATACTTCTGGAAATGCCCAGCACACAGCAGCACTGTTTCTTGTGGTGAAGGAATTATTCAGGACGCCCAGACCAGCGTTTCTTCCAGGGCTCAGTCCCCGCTGCCGACCTTTCCCTTTCCAAGCCAGACAGGCTCTCTCAGAGCTACTCTTGGGATCCGACACGTTTTGGTCACTTAAAAATTCTACAATTCTGAAGAGCAGCATCGTTTACTACACAAGGACTAACTAAACCCATGACGAGGAATTACAACCCTGCTTTTGAGAACTCATCATGATGTTCTGTAATAAAAGCGGGTCCAAGTTTTTACAGTTAAGAAAAAGTTGTCTGATTGTACTGCAGAGGCCAAACCAGAAACAGCACACCCAAGCAGAAACCAAACCGACACCCAACGAATCCCATTTCCACACACACGTCTAACCTTTTTCCAGACTGAAGTTAGTAACATCCGTAGACGTTTCCTCATCGTCACTGGAAAGGCCTTCGAGATGATCTGCCATCTTCCCAGTCTGCTCTCTGGCTTGTCTGCGACGAGTCCTGAACAACAAACGTCAAGGTCTCAAGCCAGACACGAGAGACTCATTCCCTTCTAAACAAACTGACAGCAAACGATTCTCAGAGTTACCTTCTGGCCTCCCGTTCTGCAATCCGACGTTTTGCATGTTCTTGATACAGTGCCCGATCACGTCCAAAAGAATCAAGATTTGGTGCCATCAGAGCTTTATCTGTAAAACAGCGATGGTTAAAATTAAAAGCCTCCCTTCAACAATCTTCAGGAAAGAGTGCACAGAACAAGCCATTACGACAGACCGCGTGCTAATCTCACACAGCAGGAGTTTGCAGTAACTGGTACTGGGTAGTTTTTTAGTTTTGAACTAATCTCAGTATTACTCTGCATGCCTATGAAAAGGAGTAGAAAAATTAAAGAGCTGATGTTGTTTTAAGAGCTCAACAATCCTACATAAAAGAAACTGGGCTTACTCACTAGTTTTGTGTATAAGTAACAGATCTAGTTTATGCTATCGTGATGATCAAATAAATTAAAAGTCTAAATTACCTGCGCAAAGGGAAAAATAGATTACTTTTTTTAAGGAAGAACTCAAGCATCACACGTTGAACAATCTGAAATGACCCCAGAGAAGAAACAGAGATGGAAAGGATGAAAAGAAAGAGTTTGGCCGCCGGACTTTAATAATACATCCTAATCCTGCTTTGAGTAAAGAGAGAATGTTTTTCTCTGATTTTTAGAACAAGGGCAGAATCAACTCTCTCCTGAACATCCTAATCCTGCTTTGAGTAAAGGCAGAATTTTTTTCTCTGATTTTTAGAACAAGGGCAGAATCAACTCTCTCCTGAACATCCTAATCCTGCTTTGAGTAAAAAGAGAATTTTTCTCTCTGATTTTTAGAACAAAGGCGGAATCAACTCTCTCCTGAACATCCTAATTCTGCTTTGAGTAAAGACAGAATGTTTTTCTCTGATTTTTAGAACAAGGGCAGAATCAACTCTCTCCTGAACACTGTACCTGAGTAGGACCAGTGGATACTTCATCACACACAATTCTTTCATACCTCACTGCCTCATTTATTTTCTCCTCCTATTTTCCATCTCTTTTTAACATTCTGAAGCAATTTTCTAGCTTTATCTTCTAAGTCTTCTATTTAAATTTGCACTTCAGTTACATTTTTAATTTCTAAGAGATGGCTCTTGTTAGAATACCCCTTTCCGTAGATTCTTATACTTGTGTTATGAGTAGAATACCTTCTCTTATGTCCCTGAGGATATCAACTCTAAAGCTCTGAAGCATTCTTCCGCCACCTGCATTATCTGCTTCCTCAGAGTCCCTTTGGTTCTACTGCCGTGTTGGCTTTGGTGATGAGCGTTAGCTATCTGTTCAAACCTAAGAAAGAGACTGGGCGCTCTGTGTGCGTAGGTGGGGACTGTCTACCAGAGGCATCGCCAAGAGATCACTGGGTGGGGTGCCAACTCTTAGTTGGGGGCCCCCAATGTTAGTATTTCAGGGTCTTTCCTCTGGACCCCTTCCCCTTCTCCACGAAAGACTCCTATCTCCTGCCTAGGATAGGGTGGGCTGGGGAAGTACAGGCTGCTGCACTTTCCTCATTTCTACGTTTTCATTCCACCCTATGAAAATATCCTGGACAACCTGTGATAGTAATGGGAAGCAAACCATCAGGGGGATAGGTGGGGGAAGGAGGAAATGTCACATGTCGGATGAAAGACATCCATTTAAGCTTGTGTACTGTTTCCTGCTATCGGAGACATGTCACTAATACCAGCAACAGGAAGAACAAACCCCCAAACTGGCTCTCTACCCCAGTGTATTCTAACTATCCTGCTGCTGTAGTTAGGTGCTGTCGAGTCGGTTCTGACTCATAGCGACCCCATGTACAACAGAAGGAAACACTGCCTGGTCCTGTGCCATCCTCACAATCCTAGACCCTAATATTTTTACAAGTTGACATTTTCCCTGAATTCATTTGTGTTTCAAAATAGGCGATACTGGGAAAGAGGCATGCTCCAGAGTTCACCAGTTGTAATAAAGGATTACTAGTGTAAATGAGACAGATGCCCAGCCCTACTTCAACTGTGAGTCTACTTACACACACAGATGAATTAGCTGAAACCCCCAAACTACAGAAGTGATTCTTATCTCTTTAAAAGGTAACTTTCATTAGAAAAATATTTTAAATAACATTTATTACTATACTAAATACTTAAAATGTTGCCATATTTACAGGTTTTATAAATACCGATTGGGGGCGGTATACGAGGGAGCAGAGATGACTCGAGCAATAGGCTGCTTCACTTCTGTAGGAACTACAGGCAGTAACGGTGGACAAGTGCTTATAATTTCAAACAGACAAATCTCAGGCTATTCTTTGCTTCTTTATAAAAAAGATCAGAAAGGGAACTGATCCTTCAGTGTCCCAAGCAATTTTCCTCATACTTTAGCAGTAAATGGAGATCCTCTGGAACAGTATTTTTCAGTTTCTCATTTCCATTCCATTTTTTCCCCACTTTCAATCTAACAGACATCATTCCACTTTAACTTCAAATTCCATGTAAGTAAGGAGCTCCAAATTATGAGGAAGAGATGGTAGACAAGAGAAGGTATCTGATGAAATATGTAGCTCACACAAACCATTTCTTCCCTTCGAAGGTATAATGGTTCCCTCTAATCTGCCCCAGAAATCTGCTTCTGTCTGGATCAGAAGTGATCTGAGGGATGTGTTTAGTCATGTAGGTGCCCAATATGTTAATAATCCAATTTAAACTCGTGTGGCAGAAACAGAAGGTCAAAGCCATTTATGCGGCTCACAGCTGAGTCTGACTCAGATCTGAGGGCCATATGACCCTTTCTTCAGACTCTCCCAAACACATCCGACACGCAAGAGAATGTGTTCTTATGGTGTCTCTCTGATTTAAAGGACACCCTGTATGAAAAAGCATTATTTTCAAAAAGAGTAACAGCACCTGATTACCTGAAACGGTTATTTAACATGCAGATTTCTGGACACCATCAAAGACCTAGTAAGACTCTCTGTCGATAGGACCAGGAAGTCTGCATTTTAAATAAATATCACAAGTAATTTCAATGCACACTTCCATTTAAGAACTACTGACGTAGAAAACAGAGGTGACAAAGAAGCCACAAGGAATCCATGACAGAAAAATCCTATCAGAGCATCCAAGAATACGGAGGGCAATGGAAAAACAGAGCTCAAACGTTTAAAACATCTGCTGAAAGAATCTTGGCCAAGCTAAATGGGAGGTTTCTAATTAACTCTGGTTTCCCTTAACACACCTATAATGAAAGGAAAACAAATTCAATTTCTAAATTTTTATATTAAAATTTCAAGAACTGCATGCATTAATTGACTTTCTAAAAAAATCCAGTATATAGGGCAAACTAGAGAAGGAACATTTAAAAGGAAAATATACAACACTCTGCTGTATCCTAGAAATGAACCTCAAAACTCTCTCAACTGGAGTTGTGTCATTTGTTACATAACACACACCCACACACCCACACCCACCCACAATTTCCCAGCCCCGAAACTCAAAATCTTTCACTGTAACCAACAACATTTGTATTAGTGCTATGAACAGGATGAAAATGAAAGAAAAAAAAAATTCAATCAGGGAAAAACAGATAGTGGTTGTAAACAGATACAGTATTAATTATACTCTATTTTCCACACTCTAAAGGAGGCTGAAAAAATATGCCCAAAGAATAAGATTGACAGAATATCAGTGCATATTTTAGAGCTCGTTTGTGAAGCTATACTTTCTTAAATACAATCCGATTACATGCTGTTATGGTTATTCAGATCTACCTGACATAAGAGCAAGGAAACGGGTTTCTTAAAAAAAAAAAAAAGAAAAGAAAAAAAGCTGGGGTATCTAATTTTCAATCAGGCTGCACTAAGGAAACAAGGTTGTTTAATGAATAATAAAAACCTTCAAGATGGACTGACTTGAATGGCTTGAAAACTCCGAAGATTCATCTTTAATATCATCTTGCCGTCTTTGGACAAGGCGGGAAGCTCGCTGTTTGTACAGCTGATGTATTGCTGATTCAAGTTCATTAATCAGTGGTACCTGTGAAAATACAACACACTCCGTAACACCAAACTCTTCAGCTGCTTACTTATTTGAGGGTTCCATACTATTTCCGGATTTCTGAAAACATACCCCCTCTATGGACAGAATAATCATGAGTACCCAAAAAGACACAAATAGTAATTCATTTTTTATAATGTTTAGGCAACATCACTTCTTCTTTTAATCCATGTATAGAACTATCATGTACAGGGCTGAGTCACTGGAGCAAAAGCCTGGTTAGGAAACTTAACACTTCAACATTAGTAAAGAGAGCAAATAAAGAAATGTCAAGAATTTTAGTCCTTTTTCTTTAGAATATTTAAGTACTTGGAAGTGTTTTAATGTCCAGTTTTAATCTTCCAGGAGCATGATCTGCCTCTCAATGTTTGTAGTTAAAAGTAAACCATTAACACTGTGCACTACCATCCCCCCCACAAAAATGCAATGGCTCAACAAGTGGGTAAGAACGAGAATCTACTAATTGCCCAATTTTAGACAGTCACACTACCCTGCCACTCATGTGTACCAAGTACCTTACAGTAATCTGTTGCACTATCTTGTAACTTTATCACACATTTGAAATGTAAACTGAATGATTAATAGAGCAAATCAAATTTCTAGCTATCACTAACCTGCCTGAAATCAATGTATCTCAAACTTTAGAAAGTTCCTTTCTTCCTATCAAATGTTTAAACTTATCCATATTTTGTAACAAAATAATAAAATTCTTCATATGAAATGTCAGTTTAAAAACTCAATAAATTTTTCCAGGTTAATAACCATAGCTAAAGCATTCATTTAAATTCCCATAGAATACAAAAACTTAGGAAAAAAACAAAAACCACCCCATTCTCTTTATAAACATCTTACGTTCTAACCAAACGCTACGGAACTTTCACAAGACACTAACAACCACTACACATACCTGAGGAAACCAGAAACTCTAGTTCCCTGGTGGCTAGTGCAAATGGAAAACACACTATTTAGAGTTTGGGAACACTGGCACCGAGTGTTATAGCAGCTTCCTGAACTGAACAGACTGCAAATGGAAAATAAAAGAAGGCAGATGGAATACAAAGATGTCTGTAAGAAGAGGAATTGTATACACTCGAATGATTCCATTGCAAAAATGGCAAATGTTCACAGAAAGCTCAGAATGACGTAGTTGTTTATTCTTTAATAAGCCATACCATGGGCAACAATGTCCCCAAATCTGCATTAGCTTTGACAGCTGAGCCTGGAGACTCTAGCATTAAAATTTACTACAATTCAATGTTTCGGCAGTTTTTTAACCACTGCCATATCATGACTTACTCTTCCCCACTTCCCTTAGAAGGACTAAAGACAAACGTCTCTATAACACGGGCCCTGGAGTCTGTTAACATTCCTCTACTGCGCGGCTACATGCCTGAGGTTGCATCACACAGGACTTAATTACTGAAGTTGCAGTTAAAATACTAACAATGCCATTTTTGTTTGGGTAACTGGAATGCCTTTTAACAAAGCCCAGAGAAAGTTCTGAGAATAAAAGGAGTAAGGACACATTTTCAGCTCTCCTTCAATTGTTAACGATATTGACTTATCTCAGGGGCTTGCACCAAGACAATTTCTTTACCCTCTCCAAACTATTACTAAATAGTTATATTTCAAGACCAAATTTAAGGCAAAGAACACAAGAAGGAAAATGACAAGAGGGAAACAAAACAATGGAAAGTTAAAATAATCTGCAAATAATTGAAGTTCAAAAACCAATTACTTTTATAAAATAACGTGGTATTTATCTTTTTATGGACTTGCCCCGTAACAACATTTTTATAGAATAACAACTAAACTGAATTACTCAAATCCATCCAATTGGTCCTATTCCCAAGATAACAACTTACAACATTATTAGCATGACAGCACTCTTAATGAAACTGAGTATGTATGAAAATGTCAAAACGAAAGAAAACACTAATCTTTAAAGGAGGATATATATCTTTTGATTAACATGAGAAAGTCACTCTCTAATCTATGAAGTTTAAGATCTCCTTTGAAAACATTTATCTAGCAACTGTAACCACATTAGCACAATCTGGGTAGATGTCTCTAGGAACAGGATAATCACGGAGAGACAAAGAACCTCCCTTTTACCTCTTTCTGTGTGAACTCGTCAATAGAATGAACTTCAAAAAACTGAAAGATGAAAAAAAAAAAAAAGCCCTTACGTCTAAACATCCAAAAACAAACTTCATGCAAATGATTTTACAAGTTTACATTACACCTGTTGTTACCGTTGGTAGATGCCATCGCACCCGCTCTGACTCACAGCGACCCTACGTCCCACAGAGGGAAACGCTGCCGGGTGCTGCGCCATCCTCACAATGGTTGCTGTGTTTGGGCCCATTGTTGCAGCCACCGTGTCAGTCCATCTTGTTTTTTGCTGAACCCTTCCACCTTACCAAGCATGATGTCCTTCTCCAGGACATTATACCTACTCCTCGCTCAGCAGTTATCTCGTTATCTAACATTACATTTACAACGCAGTAAAAATTCTGCTGTCTATTTTGTGCACTAACAACATACATCCGGCAGGTGTGAGGCGAGAGTGATGCTGGCTGTGATGGTTAATGTTATGTGTTAATATGGCTGGGCCGTGATTCTCAGAGGTTTGGCAGTTATGTAATAATGTGGTTATCCTCCATTTTGTGATCTGATACGGTCATCCTCCATTTCCACATAACACAGATTTTTGTGTAACGACCTGGTCTTTGGAACCTAACCGTGTCGATAAGTGAGGAGTGAGCACACTGTTTATTCATTCTATTCCTAATAATAAGTGATTTAGACTTCAACTAAGTTTAAAAGGGTGTAAGTACTAATATACTTTACTATCTGAATACATATTATATAGAATACTAATAATTCAGATAGAATGAAAAATAGTGATTAATAATTCTTCTAGAAATAGTAAGCAATTGAAAACTACATGAACTAGATGCCCTACTATGCTCTTGAATTCAAAAATGGCATACTATAGGGTCATTGTGAGTCAGAATCAACTCGACAGCAATGAGTTTTTTAAAAATATACTCTAGTTGATCATTACTGTCTTTTTTTTTAAGTTATATGTGTTTGCAATGATTAGTGTATAAGTTTACTCAAGTAAGTTCCAACGCAAAGGCCAAGAAACTTCAAGAAAACACTCAACAGGGACAATCCTCACTTACAGTACGGTCGAAGACAAAGACCCTGTCTCTAGCCACAAAGGCCTTCACGGCAGCCCCCACCAGGCCCGGTCAGAACGGCTTTCCCAGAAGGAAGGAAGCAACACCAGCTCCGACACTTACGTCCCACTTCCTGTCTTGACCCTGGCACCACCCCTACCATCCACACAGAGGAATACAGCTGTGCTATGCTTCCTCCCCACTCCTGTACTTGTCACCCTAAGCCACTGATCTGCCACAAGGGTTAGCAAAGCTCAGACTGTAGTTGCTTCTCCAAAAACCAGGTGCTAAGGACAAGAACATAAATCCTATAGACAAACATGACACATGCTGGCTCAGCCTGGACCTGACCTCAGACTGACTGAATCATCAAGACTCATTAGAACAGTCTGCCAGTGTTCTTTCGCCAACCTTGGATTTTAGGGTACTGAAGTAGTCAACAGGGATAATTAAAAAGTTAAAATACTCATTTACCTATACTAGATGCTTACAGATTCTACGCTAACCCACACAGCCAATGATAAAGGGAAATATGCCTTCCAATCCCTTATTACTTAAAAGTTTAGGGACAAGATGCTCAAGGACGATGATTTCAATTTTTTTTAAAGATAAGGCTGTAAAGTCCATAATGTTTACAAACCAACGCATCAAACAATAAGAGATCATTTGAGAAGACAGGGGATTCTGTGTGTAGCTAATTTAAAAAAATGTAAACAATGGCACAACAGAATGCAAAAAAATTGTGTCAACTATCATACTAAAAAAACGAACTCGGAAGATATGAGACCTTAGAAGAAATTAAGTCCAATGAGTGGTTTCTGAAATGGATGAAGCACAGGCTTATTTAGGTGAAAACAATTAGCAGCAATGGGGACCAACACTATCTAGGGTAAAAAATAAGAACTAAGAAAATTTGCTACTTTATGCATATTTGAAATTACTTGTAGAAACAGTTAAAGTTTAAACCTGAACCATAAAAAAGAAAATTGCATCAGATGAGCCCTATTTTCTAGCAATTCAAGGCAGGCCAATCATCTACCATTATATTAAGGCAAGAATTGCCAAAGTCTTATTAAAGTGTGCTTTGAGGTAGTAATGCCACCAATGAAGTGAAGAAAAGGAAGCATGACTTTGCATCGCCTTGAAAGTTGAATTCAGCAGGTATTTTCTGAAAAACATGGAAATGTTCTATACAAGGCCATCTACACCTCCCTCATTTGGTTTAGTCAAAGAGATTAATATTTTTGCATTCTTACCTTTTCACTGAAACACTCAAGCAAGTCTTGGACATACCCTCGCATTTCTTGCAAAAATTTATACCGTTCACCAATACCCCCAGAAGACCCTTCTAATCTCTCAATAGCCCTGGAAGAGTCCACTCGGCTTTGCACGTGTTTCTCATGCTGCTGTTGGTTTGTTCTGTGCAATTCTTTCATGGAATCCAACCTTAGGAACACAAAAGGATAAACAGAACACATTTACATCCAGAAGTCTATGCTGTCAGCACTCTAGTCATATTATAATAATGCATTTAGTTCCACTATTAAAATACAAAAATACTTGGAATGGCATCTTTTCATCTGTACTGCTTTTTGCTCAAAAATGGCAGTTTATGGACTTCATAAAAAGTTATTTGGTGGGCTAACCAAAATCTCATTGCTCTGCTTTCCCCCCATATCTTGACTACGTTTTTTCAGAGTCCAAGAGGTGCAAACTCAGAACTGTCTTCAACATGGAGTGGCTTTTTTTTTTTTTAAAATAACTTTCCGCAGCTTCCACAGAAGTAATCCAGGAAGGTGGCAAAACAAAGCATGAAGTCATCTTCCGCTGAGATTTTGAAGATGTGGGCCAGTGACTCTTCTTTGCTGATACTCTGCATCTGCTACCCCAGACTACAAGGTGCCTGAGGGGACAGAAAGCTAGCAGACAGGTCTTTAAGAAGCTGATCTGCCCTACCTGTCTTTAAGCTGTTTCTTTACCAAATCAATAGTAACGGGAGTCATCTCATTACTGGGAGTTTTGAAAGGGGCTGTATTATCTGTTTTTTGAGATTTGGCATCTGATGATCCATAGGTCGTATAACTATAAGGAATGCCATAGGATGAACCATAAGGCATTGTCTGGAAAGTGTTCTGGTAGTACATATTCACTTCAGTGGGCTGACTTGCTTGAACCTAGAAAAGAAATGGGATATATATGAAAACTACTAGCAAAAAGTTTGAGAAGAATAGCACACCTATAGCTTAAAAAAAACCAAAAATGACAACCATTTTCCGAACAGTGTATAATTAAAATAAATAACTGCAAAGTCCTTTAAAATCAAGTAAAAGTAGGGTTGGATGACTATCTTATCTCTTGATGACATCACTGAATTTATTTCTAATAATTTTCAAAAACAGAATAACAGAAGTTTGGAGTTGGAAGGAACACTAAAAATAACCCAAGGCCACCGTTTTATCCATGGAAGAGGATAAATGATTTGCGTGTGATCAAAGAATAAAGGGACAAGCAGAGATTACAATCTAAGACTCCTGACAACTAGTCCAGGATTTTTCCTATTATGCCCTTTTTTCTTCAACCAAATGCACGCAAAAGTCTGCCTCAAAACACTACTATGAAAACAGTTTACGTACATGCAAACTGTTCCACTGTACTACTTACATCCATAAAACCGTTACAACTACGCGGGAAGATATTTTTCATCTCTCTCAGTAAGTTTTTGCATTATTGAGAAACCACCTCCTACAAAATAACTTTTAAAGTCAGAAAAAAAATAAACCATACAAGAAAAAAAATTTTGACAAAAGCACTGGTTCTCACACTTCAGTGTACATCAGAATCACTGGAGGGCTTGTTAAACAGATTTCTGGGCCCAACTCCCCAGAGTTTCTGATTAGTAGGTCTGGGGAGGGGCCTGAGAATTTGCATTTCTAACAAGCTCCCGCGTAATGCTGAGTCTGCTGGCCAGGAGACCACACTCTGAGAAACAGTGATCTAAGGAACTGTAAACTCTTCCACCATTCTGACTGTAAAAAGCAAAACGTAATACATTGTCTTCTAAAAGTCTGTTGGATACATCAGCTCATGATTTTCTTGACTTGTTACTTGAAGGAACAACAAAGATTCCATATGTTTTCACTTTAACAAAAGACACAAAAAAGGCTTTCTAATTTTTGAAATTTATTTCTTAACTCTTACTTGAGGGATATTAATTCCTTTTCTAATCTGCTCCTGCTCCCATCGGCTGAGCTCTTCATCTTGTTCCCCAGTTACTAAAGCATCATCATCACTCCCCTCGATACCTGCAAACAGAAGCGGCAAAGAAAAGTTACGTACTACCAGGAAAGGGAGGGACGCTAGCCTGATATTTCACGATAATTTAATACCACCACTGGTATTAACTCAATCTTACTAAAATGTCTGTTGTGCCCTCCTCTCTGTCATTTGATCCTCCCGACTTTGCTCGTCTTAAACAGAGCGCCCCTGAAGCTAAAGGTGCGAAAAGGTAGCGTTTACAATCTCCGACAGCTTTCCTAGTAACCGTCTGTAAGCTTCAACTGAAACAAAGGAAGAACAGAACCTCATGTTTCCTAAGAATGTTGTGAGGACTATACTTAGTGCTTAGCACACTATCCAGTCACAGGAAGTGCTCAATAAACACTCAACATCACAACTATGTTACAGTTTCCGAAGAACTCCAATAAGACACTTGCACGCAAACAATAACCATCCTCTAACATAAGACAGTTTAAACAAAAAGTGTAGGTACTTTTTGACTTTAGTATCAAACCACGTTTGATAGCAATGCAGTGGTCTTACAATCCTATTAAATTGCGTTACCTATTTCCTCAGCAATTTTCTGTCTTTGTGACTTTTCTTTCACAGAAAAAACGATACGGCGCTTCTCATCATCATCTTCATCGTCGCTAGCGTCATTCTCGTCCTCCCTCACCAGGCGTCCTTTCCCAGGCTCAGTATCGTGAGGAGGGAAATCTCCCAGCTCCCGGGCCATCTGACGCTTCTTCCTCGCAGCATGAATAAAAGCTGCATCTGGAATTTCTCCTGGAAACAAACGGTACGAGAATTATAAAGTATGGCAATATTAAAGGTATAAGTTTTCTTTTTTCTTTTTTGGAAAATACCAAGGGTAAAATAATCTCACCAAGATACCCTGTCACAGTGATGTGCCACTGTTAGCTGCTGGCACCCCTTCTCACACTGTGCCTGCAGTCCAGCTGACGTGATTTACTGTTTGAATTAAATCTGATATGTTTACAAGTGGGGGAGTAAAACGTCTAACACAGATTCATAGTGATGGTTGTACTACTTGGTGAAGTGACTGAAAATCATTGAATTGTATATTTGAAATGGGTGAATTTTATGACTCAATAAAGTTGTTTTAAAAATCTGGTGTTTAATAGTCTTTAAATTTAGGAATTACAAGGAAAGAGTGGAAGGAGAGAAAAGGGGAGAAAGCCCACCAGAGCAGGCGTATTTTAATGTATTTTTTTCATTATTAAATAAACAAAAGAAATGAAACCATTTCCACTTTTGTTTTTGTTTCCCAGTTTAGTAGATACTGAAAAAGAGAAAAATGACTGTCACCCACAATCTCATGACCCTAAAAAAGCACTATGAAACTTGTAGCATATTTCTCTCACAAACATCAGTTTCAGTTTACCTGTAAGCATATTAAATATATAATTCTGTACCTAATTTTTCTTTATATTAAACCATAATAAGCTTTCTTCCATGCTATTGTTCTACATAAACACAAAATGACTGAACAGATAAAGCATAATTTACTATACAATCAAATGAGCTGACCATTTTTCCCTACAGCAAAAATGAATACCATCTCTCTTGTCTAGTAATTGTTATTTTAACAGCTATGTAATACCCCATCAAGCAAATGTACCTCCATTGACTAAACCACTCCCCTCCTGCTAGACATTTGTTCTAAATTTTGTACACTGCAAACAATGTTGCAATGAAAGCATTATACTCTTGGGATAAATTTCCAGAAATGAAATTACGGAGTCAAAGGGCAAGAATATTTTGAAATCTATTCATTCATATTAGCAAGTAGCTTTCCATAAGGACTGTGCCAATTAGACTGTCACTAGTGATATATGAGAGTAGGTATTTGTAAACTTTATTAAATATTTATTCAAAAGCTGATTAGCCAATGTATAGATTTACAAACTATTTCCTCTAGAAAAGGAAAAAGAAAGAAAGTGTGGACATAAAACAGCACTTACTTTAACTTCTTAGTAGCAGTTTAGAAAAAAGTTTTATGGAAAAGAATGTTAGCCTTATTTGAAATGTAAAAGAATGCTTTAGTATACCATTTATCCAACTGCCTATCTGTGGATAAACTTGAGAGAGCTGGAAAGCTTCTAGTTATCCCATTGTCTCTATTTGCAAATGGAAGCACCCTGGTTCCACACAAGGCTATCATAGTAAGAGATGCCACTTAGCTCTCTCCTTTAATAACCATCTTTAAAAATGGCCCATTCCTAAGGGCTTATTTCAGTTCTGAGCACATACCTGGACGGAGAACATTCAAAGACGACAAAGCGTTTGAAAAGGCTCCACCAGCCTTTGGCTTCTCTTCCTCCTTCTCACTTTCCATATCCATTTCGTCTTCGCCATGTTCATTGATAATAACTCCATCTTCCTGACTGGGATCCTTAATGTGTCCTGTTTTGTCCAAAGGTTGTTCATCTAAATTTATGGAGGGGGAAAAAAAAAAAACCCTCATCAAGTTACATTTAAAATAAAATCCATAAATTAGGGGGTCACTGTTTATTCAATTACAGATTCATTCCACTAAAACCTGAATTACTTTGTTTATAAAAAAGTCAAACGTTAATGTATGAAAATAAAATATTGTGACAATAAACATAACCAGAAGGGAAAAATAAGGGACAGAGGAATATACTGGAAGCCCTGCTCAATCCCACCTTCAGCGGAATTCTTTCTATCAAATTTGTTTCTTCATCTAAACTCCCACAGGTACCTGCCTGTATCTCTTTCACGCGCTATTTCATTTGATGTCAGTATTCCATTAAGCTCTACGCCCGTTCAAGGCAGCTTTCTGTCAAGAACAAAGTACTGTATCTTTATAAACCAGATAAATGTCTCTGTAATGGGACACTTTCTGGGATATTGTCTCAGCTCATACTACTTCTCACCCATCATCCAAAGGGGTGCAGCCTGACCTCACTGCCATGACTGGACGTATAACAACCTGAGTCTCTTTCTGGGAATCTGGAATTGGGATAGAGACAAGTTAGAGACTCGGTGGCATGAGAACAACCAAGTGTAAACTGGGGGGGAGCCATGGAGCGGCCACGTTCCGCCATGTGGACAGAGAAGAGAGTTCTTGCATCCTCAGTCCACTTTATTCCTGAGGCCTGTTTCAAGACTGCTTTCTTGCCACAGGGGTACAGGAGGTCCCTTTATGATAAACTGCCCTTGTTGTACGTTACTTATAACTAAATAAACAGGAGCCCAGTGGTGCAGTGGTTGAGCACTCGACTGCTAATCAAAAGGTTAGTGGTTCAAACCCACCAGCCACCCTGTGGGAGAAAGATGTGGCAGTCTGCTTCTAGAAAGATTACACCCTTAGAAACCCTATGGGGCAGTTCTACTCTGTCCTATAGGGTCGCTATAAATCAGAATAGATTCGATGGGAATGGGCTTGGATAATTAAATAGTCCTACTAATTAAATAGTGCCCTCCCTCCCAGGAACTGTTTCCAGAATATCAAACTGTTTTTAACCTGGAAGTACCCTGATGCATGTAATAGACACAATATAATAAAAGAGTAAAGCAATTGTTTATTCTAAATAAAAAAGATATTCTTCTGTTCTTTCCTTAGCACCCCCCCCCCAACTACTTCTAATGTTCTCTATTCTCCTCAGGTCATAGTCTCCTCACTAAATAAAATTTCCAGCGATATTATCACCATGCCCCAGTTTTTAAGACATTACTGAGAAGGTTTAGATCATTCTGCTTTAGGCTAATTTGTTTTTCATTTACCATCCTATCTCTTTAGCCATAGACTTCCTTAAGTGCATTCTGGGGCTAATGAAATTTAAAACTCACTTCATCGATAGATGTATGGTTAGATGGAGTAAAAAGCTACCTGTTTCCTTCGGGTCTTGATAGACTGAAAACAGAACTGCAAAGGGTCTACTACACCAGCTATACCAAGATGATTTCTGTAGATTTTAAAAGAGCCAATGCTTCATCAGGTTCACAAGTATCTGTGATTGCACAAGCGGACAAGTGAATTTCTGGTTGGCGGTCACACGTTATCCTCACAGACATCTCTATGGGGAGAGGTGTTAGATAACATTTTGCAAGGTTCCACTGATACCCTTAACTTCACTTACTACTACTTTAGGCTTCTTGCTCTCACAGTTAGCCACGCCCTTCGTCTGAAAGGCTGTCTGGCTCTCCCTCTCTACTGCCTTCTCCCTTCTGGCCACACAGAGACACAGGCTTCCCCGTCACCAAAAGAACTTCTACTTGATCTCATTGGTCCCTCTAGCTAACGTCCTCTAGTTCTCTTTTTTTGGCCAAACTTCCCAAAGCAGCAGCGTGGACCTGCTGTCTTCTCCTCCTCATCAACTTGTGTGCCTTAATCCCGACACATGGCCTCAGATCCCCCCCAGTCTAAGCTCACCAACTTAACCTGATGGCTGCAACCACAGCCAATTCATACAGCATTGCTGAACAATTTGGCAAAAGGTGCTTCTTTCTCTGACCAGCTGAAGCTCTATGGGCATAGAGCCTGGCTAGCAAATCACTCCCTTCTGCCAGATGCCCTCCTCCAGGGAAAGATCTGGAAGCCCTACCAATAGCTCCTCCTCATCCTCACTTTTCCAGACCTTTCTTGTTCTATTTCATACAACTGACCATCATCTTCTTGAAACTTTCATCCCTTTTCTCTTTGGCTTTCTGATTCTTTGATCTCTTTTGGTAAATCCTCTTCTCTGTGTGGACTTATTACAGGGTATAAGTCTTTGGCCCTCTGTAATTTTCAATGTCCATGGAAGTAGCACTCAAGAAATCAAACAACTATTGCATTCGGCAAATCTGCTACAAAAGACCTCATTCAAGTGTTAAAAATCAAAGATGACACTTTGAGGACTAAGGTGGCCCTGATCCAAGCCACAGTATTTTTAATCGCCCTCATATGCATGTGAAAGCTGGACAATGAATAAGAAGACCAAAGAAGAACTGATGCTTTTGAATTTATGGTGCTGGTGAAGAATACTGAATAAACCATGAACTGCCAGAAGAAGGAACAAATCTGTCTTGGAAGAAGTACCACCAGAATGCTACTTAGAAGCAAGAATGGCGAGATTTCGTCTCACATACTTTGGATATGTTATCAGGAGGGACCAGTCCTGGAGAAGGACATCATGCTTAGTAAAGTAGAGGGTCAGCGAAAAAGAGGAAGACCCTCAACAAGATGGACTGACACAGTGGCTGCAACAATGGGCTCAAGCATAACAAGGATTGTAGGACGGCACAGAACCAGGCAGCACTTCGTTCTGTAGTACACAGGGTCGCTATGAGTCAGAACCGACTCGACCGCACCTAACAACAAACTTTTCCTTTATGCTGCTCCCTCATCAATTCCATTCACTTTCAGTTATAATTATTACCTCTATAAGCACCACAACTACACCTACATGTCCAACTGTTTACTGGTTATTTCCACTCAAATTTGTTTAAGAGTGAACTCATTATTTTAAAAATGTTATAAAAACAGGCTTTCCAAGTCAATACTACTTTTGTTTTAAAGTTAATACATCTCTTTGCCTATTTTAGTAGAGTTGGAGGTAGAAACTGTTCTGGATTGTGAGTTAGTTAATGAAAGGGCTACACAGCACGATCATTCCAGTGACAATGATGAACACCCATAATATGGACAGAGGGTTTGCCCTTGGGGAGGACATGAATTATTTGAGTTCTCTGGTGAGCAGAATATTAGAATTATGTGGAGGTAGAAGGCAGGAGGAAGCCACAGAAGATGGCCTTATACTTCTTCAGTTTCTAAATCCACAGCAGCAAATGGCAACCAGACCAACAGCCCTTTCTCAGTCCTTTACTTTCCTTGTACTATTTCATACGACGTAGCTCTCAAGAGGTCTGGGAAAGTTAAGGCAGTTTCCCTAAAAAGTACTCCTCCTCCAACCTGCCTTCCCTATTTCTGTATAGAATGCTTAATTATTCTTAGTCACCCTGGCACAAAAGCTCAAATTTGACTATTTCTTTTAACTACAACAGCTAAAGCATACATCAGGCCTACCAATTCTTCCCTTCAAATGTTTCCCAAACAATCCTTTCCTTCTATTTCTTTTCCCACACCCACAGCAAACATTGTTAACACAACTTTCCCAATGAGTCAGGAAAAGCCAGGATCTTGCTCAACGGAGACCTTTCAAAACCCACTATTAATGGATCAGAGCTGGCCCTTGAGTTTCTCAACTGCCCTGGGCCTCCAACCTCTCCTCACACCAATCCATGCTGCATGTTGTGCCAGGTTCAGGTTTCCGAACAGCATTTATCATGTCACCATCCTGGCAAGCCACGGAACACAGCAACTCTCCACCCCTTACTAGACACTAACCATCCTTCACCATCTGTCAACAGCGGACCTTTCACACTAAACCTCTAAATACTTCCTATACAAATCATCTACTTTGGCCTGTCAGATGTACTGGCTCTTCTCCAAAAAGGCCTCAATTGTTTTAATCTTTGATAACAGCCCCATATCTTCCCTTTCTAGAATTTTAACTATCAAAGATCCAGACTCAAATCCCACTTTTTCTGTGAAGCATTCTCTCTCCTTTCCCTTAAAAAAAAACATGTAGCCATCCCTTGGACCACTCATTCAACATTTTGCCATGTACTGCGACCTACTGTCACCTGATGTCACCTCCGAAACTAGACTGTAAATTATATATGTCAGATTTTTTCAGATTAAGAGTGTAGGTGAGAACTTGAGACATAATCAATTTTATCTTTAATTTCATATGGTAACTCATGCTGTAATGGATCCAAGGAGTTCTTGTGGTGCAGTGGTTGGTGGTTCAAACCTGCCAGCTGCTCTGCAGGAGAAAGAAGTGGCAGTCTGCTTCCCAGGGCTTTGAACTGCAAAAATTACAGCCTAGGAAACTCTATGACGCAGTTCTACTATGTCCTATCGGGTCACTACGACTTGGATTCAACTCGAGAGCAACGGTATTTTTTTGTTTTTAACAAAGGATCCACTTTCCTAAAGACAAAACAACTGCTTACACTTTTTAAACTCTGGTTTCGAGAGGATATGAGAGAAGTCTGTACAAGGTAGCTACCTCATACTAAGGAGACTTCATCACTGTTATCAGATAAGACTGCTGAGTGGGGTATTACCAACATGAAACTTAGGGCATTCCTAAAAGCTAAGAACTAAACCAACTGAGGAAATATCATCAAAGAAATGGAAAACTCTTAGGTTGAAATGGGAAGCCTTCTTTCTCTGCTCAACAGCAGTCTGCAAACTACTAGGAAAATATGGATAGGGTTTAGCCATTCCAACAGACACATTCCAGTGGTACTGATTTTATCGCTCTTTAAGAATGCACTTATAATGCAATTGTGTTAGAATTAAATAACAGAACTGTATTGCTACTCAATTTGGACCTTTGACAATTAGACGTCACTCAGTCAGTTCACAATACATGTATCAAATCCACTCAATTCTTGTAAAGAAAAAGCTTTTCATTTTGTCATTTCAAAAGAATCTGATTAGTTTGGTACTTACTGTCAGCTGATGAGTTGAGTTCCGTCTTAATCTTTGATTTTTCAAGATCTTCTTTGTATTCTTTCTTAAGTAATTTTACTATCTTTTTGCTATAACTTGATTTCTTCACTTTGAAAACTTCTTCATTTTCTTAAAAAAAGAAATTAAACGAAGTCTGTAGCAACCACTTTTTTCAGAAAACATTTTCCCTTCTAACTTTCACATACATGGTCTTATGTGCCGTTCTGGAAACCCTGGTGGCATGGTGGTTAACAGCTACGACTGCTAACCAAAAGGTCAGCAGTTCAAATCTAGCAGGTGCTCCTTGGAAACCCTACGGGGCAGTTCTACTCTGTCCTACAGGGTTGCTATGAGTCGGAATCGACTCGACGGCAATGGGTTTTTTTTTTTTAATGTGCTATTCAAGTAGTCAAATTCTATCATTACACAATTTGAAGTTATTTCAAATATCAAAGGCTTTCAAAAACTGAGGACAACTTCATAAATTAATCTGGAGTAACAAGAGCTTGAGAATTTTTAAAAAGGAATAACACATGTAATGTCACAAACATTTCTTAAATCATCTATTTTTGGGGGAAAAGTCATTCAAAATGTTTCTGAAAAAGCACTCACTCACCAAATTACTAAAGAATCTGAAACAAAATATTCAAAATCAAAACTGGTCGAGTTGGAGAACTCTACATTCACCACAAACTGATGTGCATTTTTTTCCAAGTCTAAGCTGAGGGCAAATCACTTTTTAACAGTTAAGTTTGGATGATGTATTCATTGTGACCCCTTCAGTTTGAAAATTTAAAAGTCACATGCAAACCACTTTATCAAATAGCCTCCAAACCACCAAAAACAAAAATCTGGCTGCATAATCTCAAACAAAATGAAACAAATAACAGAAAGGCCAATGGAAAACGGCCTACCTTAGCAGAAACAATGTCTCACACCAACACACAAGTGAGATTTCTAAGACATAATTTCTTTTTTCGTAACATGGAATTGAGTTATATACACACCCACACAAAACTGGCCAGGAAGGAAAAAGATTGAAGCTCATTTCATCACCAAATTTTTATTAAAAAAAAAAAATTTTTTTTTGGATGGCATGTGTTTTTAGCACGGGAATGCACACTTACTAATGGAGAATGTTTAAATTTTTCGTTTGTAATATGGATTTGGAGAAATATGATCTGGCAATACAAGCCACCAATAAGATGAGTGGCACTCTGGCGCCACCGATCTGTGGTGTGAGAATATACCGGTAAGAACTAAACGGAGAATTTATTGCGGGCGCCTTTCCATTAGGTTACACTGGGAACCTCTGGTTTTCCAAACACGACACAGAAAAATCAAAACAAACCCAGTAGGGCTCCCTAGTTATCATATAGGGAAGCGGTACTATGCTTGCAAGCCTTATCCCACAGAAACAAAGGGGAAAAAAGGCAAAACTTTACAAAACTAACACATCCAAGAAGCATCACACAACCTACACAACAATGAGGCTCCAACCTCGGTGCACCAAGCTTCACGCATTTCAAAAGGAACCCACCTTGATGCTAAGTGCATTACAACCGGAATGCCATACGACCTGTGAGGTCCACAGGCATAAAAAGCGGCTGGTAAACTGTTAACCCAACAGTAAGTAAAGAGAAAAGACCAGAACTCTCACTGCACTGCAGCCAGGCCTCTCCGGTATTGGATGACCCGTCTTGCGCTAGTATTACCCGGTCTCTCTCTTCAGCGGTCCGAAAATCATTGCGAGGAAGGCTGGACATCTATTACCTCTATTTACTTTTACGGGGAAACCGAGGCGCGGTGCTTCCAAGGGACTGGCCCAAGGTCACTCATAACTAACGCTGCAACTGTAGGTTTCTATCCCCAGACCTGGCATTCCCTTTGCAAACAGCCACCTTGCCGGTCAAGGGTGCCTGGACCAAGCACCCCACAGGCGTGGGCAGTGACCCGCACAGAGCTCAGGGAGGTGACAAGAGCAGTCGGGAGACCCCACCGAGAATGCTGACTGCATTTACAAACTCAAAAACGAACCGAGCTCTGGCCCTCCCGAGGACAAAATGCACAGGACAGTGCAGAGTAGGCGGCTGTTACGAAAAGGCTGGTAGTGGGGCGGGACACGTCCCCTGCCCGAGCAGAAGGCCGGAGGCGGGGGAAGATGCGCGGCCAGGCCGCCGGGAAAGGGCTCGGCCCGGGGTGCGGGGTCTCGGGTAGGAAGGCGGGGCCCGGGATGCAGAGTCCGGGACAGGAACGCGGGGCCCGGGGTACAGGGTCCGGGGCAGGAACGCGGGTCCCGGGGTGCGGGGTCCGGGGCAGGAACGCGGGTCCTGGGGTGCGGGATCCGGGGCAGGAACGCGGGGCCCGGGGTGCGGAGTCCCGGGTAGGAAGGCGGGTCCCAGGGAGGGGATCCGGGGCAGGAAGGCGGGTCCCGGGGTGCGGGTTCCGGGGCAGGAACGCGGGTCCCGGGGTGCGGGTTCCGGGGCAGGAACGCGGGGCCCGGGGTGCGAAGTCCCGGGTAGGAAGGCAGGTCCCAGGGAGGGGATCCGGGGCAGGAAGGCGGGTCCCGGGTAGGAAGGCGGGTCCCAGGGAGGGGATCCGGGGCAGGAAGGCGGGTCCCGGGGTGCAGGGCCCGGGATACGGGGTCCCGCGTAGGAACGCTGGGCCCGGGCCCGAAGCGCGACGCGGCGCCGGCGGTTACCTTCGTCCTCGTCCTGGAAGCTGAGCAGGCTGGCCCGGGGCACCTCTTTGTTCTCGCGCGGCCTCTTCCGCGGCTTCAGCCCGTTGCCCAGCTCTGCGCTGCCCGGGAAGCCGCTCCCCGCCTCAGCCCCGAGGCCCGGGATCAGCGCGGAGGACGGCGGCAGCCCCGCGGCCAGCAGTGGCTCCCCCCCGGGGGCCCTGTCGCCGGCCCCGGGGCCCGACTCGTCGCCGGTGGCCGGCGGCGGCAGCAGCGGCGGCGGCTCCTGCTCCTCATCGCGCTCCCGTTCCTCCTCCTCCGAGTCGTTCCTCTTGCGCACGTTCACCCGCCGGGCCTTTCGAAACATCCCCGCGGCCCGCACTGAGCCCTCACACCCGATCCCACACGGCGGTCAGAGCAGCGCTGAGCTCGCGACGGCGCACGCGCGCTCCCCTGAGCTCCAGCCGGCTGGAGCCTTCCCTCGCGCTACCGCGCGCCACCGAGCGCGCATGCGCCTGCGCTCACACGCGCCCTCAAGTACTTGGGAGAGGGCCGCGCACTTCTCGCGAAAACGTCATCTGGGGGCACTGCCCTCTATCGGAATGGAGGACTATTAGCAGGGAACTATGGGACTCTAGGTGGCGGCCCCGTGACTGGTGGAGAGGTCACAGAGGGGATCATAGAGACGAGAGGAAAGAGTAGGTTCAGCCGTCCCACGGCCGGCATCCCTGCAGTGCGTCTTCCGCACAGACGCAGTGCGGTCACGTGAGGAAACCTCCCGCCAAGAGCTGGGAGGTGCGAACAGAGGAGGAGGAGGAAGGAGCCACAGGAGAAGTTGGGTTTGGTGAGGGAGAATGAGGTTCAAGGGGTGGAATGTTCCTCTCGAAACTGTGACTTGACATGTTGCTATTATTGGTAATTATTAGTAATTCTATTGAGTAATACTTCGTATTTCTGCAGTTTTGTAGCTACAAAGCATTTCACATTGAATTTCATTTATGATAAAAGGTACCTGGTGTAACACC